GAAATGGCTTGGCGGGTAACTCCTAATACTGAAACAAGCTCTTCTTGCGTTTGGCACGGATCCTCATCGAGCAATGCCTCCAATTCAGCGTCTTCGAAGGTTTTTGGCCTTCCTTCACGTGGACGGTCGTCAACATCGAAATCACCGTCTTTGAAGCGACGGAACCAATCTCGGCACGTTGTTTCACTTAGAGCAGCATCTCCGTAAACTTTTTGGAGCTCTCGATGCGCTTCAGCCGCCGTTTTCTTCGAATGAAAGAAGAAAATCAATACTTCCCGCATATGACGATTATTTGGCACAAAATCAGACATTTTCACACAACCAAAAGAATATAACGTCAAAACAAAATCACTAATGTGTCGAAGCGGTTTGTTTACCATATGTCTAAGCTTGGTTCATGACGTTTAGATTATGTCAGAATCGACCAGCACTTACTGCTGGAACCATCTATTGACAAACAGCGGGAACTTAGTTGCGCACCTAATATGTTAAATAAATAAACTTATTTGTTAATCACGCCTCTTTAGCGAAACAAATCAAAATCAAAATCATTTGGCAGTAACTATATATGAGGCTATAAATGTAGCGAGAGTTTATCCTAAATACAAGTGTAAAATACTATTCCACTCATAATCTCATATGTATACATAAAAAAAACAAAAAAGTAATCTTTCTCTAAAATTCATTCAGGAATAACACCTTTGGTTTTTTAAAAGACTTATGATAATAATAATAATAGTATGTATTGATGATAATAACAATAATAGCGATAATAGTGAATAATAATGAATGAATAATTTTAGAAATTCCTTCGAACTTTGGGATTTCTTTCGAATTTTAAAATAATTGACAAATAGAATTTTGTTATAATTTTTAAAAATAATAAAAACTTTTACTTATAACGCGAATGTTTTACTTATAACAAAGAAAAAAAATACAATAAATATGCATATTAGATTTATAACACGTTTTTAAATTTTAGTCGTTCTTTTTCTAAAATCAATGTCTTAAATTCTAATTCCTTCTGCATTATGTCAATTTGTAATTTTTCTTTTTGCAATAGTGTTTCTAAAATTTTAATTTCAAATTCATGTCTTTCTTTTCCATTACTTATCATTAAATTTACTAATTCTGTTTTACTATCTACTAATGTATCACATTTTTTATTAACATTATTTTTTTGTTTTAATTGATTACTTGTTTTTTTTACGATTCCTTTAAGTGCTGATGGCATAACATTTTCTTTTGATTTTTTATTTTGGTTAGTACTAGCTGAATAATCCATAAGTGGCACAGACTTATTTGTGTTTGTTGATGTTCTGAGTGGAGTGCTAATTTGTGTTTGTAATTTTTGGGGATTCCAATTTTTCCAATTTAATTTGTTTTTTTGAAGAAACTGTAAAATAACAATGAGTAACAATGAAATACAAAGGATTACACAGCGCTCATATAATATCTTACACATTATAAATAATATTATTCGTTATTAATTACATTTAATACGTCTTCCTCCTTATCAGATTCATCATTGTCTTTTCTGCCATCAGTCTCATCTTCTATATTATCTTCGGTTATTTCTATAACATTTTCACTTGCTTCATGTAGCCATTCTTCATCAAATGCTTCATTTTTGTCAACATCGTCTGTAATATAAATAAAATAACATCACAATAAAATGCATTAGGAGAAATAATTTAATTACATATAACTAATTGTAAGATTATTAAATGAAAAATATTTTATGGCCTTAATTATAAACATTATAAAAATAAAATATAATAATGTATATTATACATACTATCGAATCCTGCAATGTAATCACTATCTAAATCATTCGATAGGCCTTCTACTGCCGGTCTTATTATTTCCCGGACTTGTTCAGCTATTGGATCACTTATAGCCTTATATTGTCCTCCACCTACAAAAATACACAGCTTTTTTATTACAGATATTTGATTGTAATCAAAGTATATCGTTGCTTATTTATGTAAAGTTTACATATATCAAACAAGTAACAACCTGTTTTATAAATTGCCTGTTTCTCCTCAGCAAATTGTTTTTTTGTTCTTTTCTTTATATTTTCCCAACATGTTTTTAGAGACTATACAGTTCGTACAACTCCTTTAGAACGAGACATAAAATTTAGTCGCAAATTCTCCCAACAATCTTCTTTTTCTTTCATAGAAATACTATTTGTTGTTTTATTTTCTAATATTTTACATCTTTCTTGTATTAATTCGACAAGAAGCATTTTTTCAGATTCACTAAAATTTTTGGTTCTTTCTTTTTTATTTGCTTGGTCCATTTGTACATGTATATCTATTTTTATAAAGAGACTCTAAACACAGAAAAGAAACAATTTAATTTATTTAATGCAAGAGATTATATAATATCTATTTTATACCATAAATTAGGTTAAGAAATTACTTCTAGAAATTGCTCTTCTTGCTTGTCGATTATCCGTGTTTAAATATTCCAATATTTGATACAGAATAATTATATTGATCTATATATATCAGCAACAAGACTTTTTAACATACAACGATAACAGTTTGTTGTCAAAATAACCGATTGACGACGAAAAACCATGCGTTGATTATAATTAGGTTAGATTTTAATTATGACATGTGATACACTCTTTAGCTGTCCACCAATCACATTATTTGTTACTAAATACAATTCGAGTTAGCACGCATTAGATATACGTTCAGTTGATCGGAACGAAGGTAAAGTTGAAGGAAAGTAAAATAAGTTGACCGAAAATTAAACTGCGTTCAAAGTTGAACGCAGTTCACAAGAACTCTGAACTGAACCACTTTGGAGGAAATGGGCATAAGTCAATCGTAGAAGAACAGGGGAGGGGGTGAAGGAGATATAGGTGGGGGAGGAGGGGGATTTAGAATCACAAGGTGAGAGTCATCGATACATTTGCTTAGGATTCGGCCAGCAGTATTAACACGCGTTCCGCCCCACATAGGATGATGCGCGTTAAAATCACCAAGAAGGATTGAGTTATCATGATCGTTGAGGAAGGAGGTAAGTGAGGAAAATGAGTTAAAAGAAGTAGATACATTGGGATGTCTGTAGACACCTATCAAGAAAAGGTAAGAATTATTAAGAGAAAGCTTGACACCGAGAGCTTCGAGAGAGCTGTTGATCATAGAAGAGAGGTCTAGGGAGGAGTAAGTGATGGGGTTACGAATAAGGGTGATCATCCCCCTAACATCAGTCATATTTGCGTCGACGCGGAGACAGTCGAATTCCCGCACACGGAAATCATGAAAATAATTAACGCATGTTTCAGCTAAGAATAGGATATCGTAGGATTCGGACAACTTTTCGACTTCAGCCTTCTTGCCTAGGGCACCACGACAATTCCAATATAGAATACGAAGGGCTCGCAAGTCGTTCATTGTGTATTGAGGAGAGCTTGAAGGGCGGTGAGAGTGTTATGGAGTCCGATACCGAGGCTTGGATTGAGAGATGCATCCGCAATATTGCTTAGTATTTGAAGAAGAAATGAAACTATCCATTGAATAATTTGTGAAAGACGTGTGATTGAGGGGTAAAGGAAGAAGGCGGGAGGGGGAGTGAGCAAAGAGGCAGAAGGAGGTGAACCAGAAGCAGGGGGAGACGATGCTAGAGGAGGAAGAGGGATCGGGGGAGAGGGAAGGGAGAGGGGGGATTACCAAGGGGGTAGGGAAAGGAAGAGGGGAGATTGGGGTAGTTAGGTAATCTACCATGGGGCGTGTAGAGAAAAGATTTATGGGATTCCTGCAATTTAGCGTAATTATCCGAAGGGTGGTGTTCAGCGGTCCTTTTCTTATTGTCATTGTGGTCGCTGCCTAGAATAGACGGATCCGA